ACTTTTTTGTTTCCTGCCTTTCTAAGCAAACCAAAATTTTGATTTATGCTTAATGAGTCATGATGAGTGGGTGCTTTAATTTAATCTCCACTTCCAAATAAAACAACTACCACAATCAACTCTCATTTGGCTAAAAAGGAATTAAAATTCTCACAACCCAACCCCCTTCCCCCTCTCTCTCTCTCTCTCTATATATATATATATATACACATACATACATATACATAATATGTATGTATATGTGTGTACATGTGTATATGTCTGCATATGTATGTACATGTGTATATGTATATGTTTTATATATATATATATATACATAATATGTATGCATATGTATGTACATATGTATGTCTACATATGTATGTACATGTGTATATGTCTGCATATGTATATATATATATATATATGTGTGTGTGTGTGTGTGTAGAGAGAGAGAGAGAGGGGTTCAAGGAAACACCTTAAAAAATGAAAAACTGAGAAACACCTTGTTAACCGTTCATTTAGAGAGTATGCACATGTGCATATAGGTAATTGAAGTTGTTTTTTGGTTTTTATGCATGTATGCATGTCCGACAAATTGCTTACAATTACTTGTGCGCACATGTGTATACCGTCCAGATAAACAATTATCAGAGTGTTCATCAATTTTCAATTTTTTACGAATTTCCCTAAACCTAACCCCCCCCCCCCCCACACACACACACACATATATATATATATATATATATATATATATATATATATATATAGGGGAGGGATATTTTGCAAACCAAACTATTTGTACAAACCATGAAAACGATCGATTTCATTATTTATTTTAATGACTTTTTTTTTTCACGAAATTGTTTAATATGATGAAATTGTTTCAAATAATTCATTTTAAATAATTATGGACATTATTATCTTCATTATATTAATTTTAGTAAACAAATTCCATCAAAATCGAGAAATACATGAAACAATTTAATTTTTACATAGAAACACAAATATATGAAACATACTCATCAAAAAATGAATTATTTAAAACAATGTCAAAATATTAAACAATTTAATGAAAAAATATCACTAAAATAAACAAAGAAATCTACGATTTTCACGTTTTGTACAAATAGTTTGGTTTTTCATTTTGAACCCCCACCCCCACCCACCCCCACATAGAAAGAGAGAAGCGAGTTCATACGACATGCACCACTCAAATAATTAAAATAAGAGAATACTTAAAGTTAAAAGCAAAATAAATAATTATGGGCATGAGGGTAATTTCCATTTATAATATTATTTAATTAATTAACTCAATCCCTAAAATTGAGATAATCATGATCCTATCATATAATTTTGTTTGATTTTTTTCAACTTAACCGGTTTTATTATTTGAATCATATTCGTCCCACAAATTTGTTTCTAAACCAAAGTTGCATCATCATCATCAAGCGTATATTTGATATATTTTCACGTTTTTCATAGTTTTTTTCAAACGATTTTTTGATTCCAAATATTGAATCATATGTCATTTTTCTCCACTGTTTATTTTTTTTTCACGTTTTTATTCATATGTGATAAGTTAAATATCACATGTGATTTATTGAATGCAATACACATAAGAGACCAAACATGTGAGCATAGAAACCTACAAATCGTAACATAATGCTAGTACACATAAACTTATTATCAATATCACATATCTAAGACATGTGAATTTATTACTAATATCACATGTGATAATAGAGAGAGTAAAACATACAGAATAATCTATTACTAATATCACTTGGGGTTAAATAAATTATAGAACACATAAACAAGTTTAATATAAGGGGGTGTTTAAGATTGCTTATAAAAACAATTTATTGACTTATTCCGGTGTGACACCGGTAATAAACATTTTTGAGTGTTTGGATAAACAACTTATACCAATGCTAACCGGTCATAAGGAGCTTTTAAAAAATTTAAACCCTTCTTATTTATAATAAGTTGATAAGTGTTTTTTATAGAAAAACATAAGCTGTTTCAAATAAACAATCTCAAACACCCCCTAAATATCACACATAAGAAGATACATACATACCATGAATGTGAATAATATAAAATAAAAAGAATATAAAAATCATGTAGAATAAACAAACTAATACAATTTCATGTAATTTAATTGTTTTTGATACAATATGATGTAACATAAACCCAAACACTCCAATCAACCTAGATTAGATCATAAAATCAACCTAGCAAAAAAAAAAAATTAACCACTCTTCATTCCATCACCTCTGATGCAGATTCTAAAATCGAATCCTTCCGCAACGAACCTGCATCACATCGCCAATATCCCTTATTGTCTACAACATGGTATCAGTCGAAGTTAATTAATGAAAAGCTGCATCACATCGTTGGGATTTCCGTCGTTACTCAACAAAGCTAAAGATGGGTTTGAATTCCAGAAAATCAACGTACTTGTACTACCTTGTAATTGATCTCCTTCAAGAGATTGTTGATAGTTTGAAGAGATAATAGCGATTTTGTTCGTAAAGTTGGTGTAACATCTAGCATCTTGTGTATTGCTCCTACTTCCACAATGGCGACTTAATTTGTTCCTGAAATCGATATCAAACAAAACAATAAACGGTTATGTTTCAACATTTTTATTCAAATTTTACCAAACATACCAACGAATTAAGAATAAATGATTAAAAAACATTTGAGATGAAAAGGTACATGAGAGAGAATGGATAATTATGGGAACAAATCATGTCCCTCATAGTTCGTGAGACTTAATCCTCTAATTAATATATTTATAAGATTAATTCTTTTTGTTTCCGATTTTACCTTTGAATACCATTAATCTTCTAACAAAAAAACACGGATTTCCTTATAATTACGATAATTCCCATCTTTTTTTTTTCAACCGTTGATTAAATTAAGTGGATGGTTGATGTCTATTCTCTTATTTTCTTAATTAAGTGTTACTTTCTTTAAACCTCCTTGTGTGTGTGTGTATATATATATAAACATGAATCTGAATATTAGAATTTGTTTGAAGTTATGTACCATGCCGATGATCTCCATGCAATTAAGTGGCTACAAATTATTTAGCTACGATGTTTTTTTGTAAATGATTGACGTAAAACCATGTAGCAATATAAGGAAACATGGCCTCAACTACGACATATTGTAGAGCTATGGATCGAGACAAAATGTTTACATCACTATATCGGAGAAACAAGCAAGACCATACCCCTTAACTAAAACTAAAACCCGACATAGAACAAGCAACACTTAATTTAATCTTGTGACATTGTTTTTTGAATTCATTGTCGATGTTAAGATCTCACAACAACTAGATTCATACCATTTATCTTCTATATATATATAGAAACCTCTTTTCTATGCATAAAGGCTCTTTTGTAGAGTTAATACGAGGGTTTCATATATTTTCACATGGTGTCAAAGACAATATCTACCACCTAGGTATTCGATACTTTGGGGGCAACCCATATGCTCATCTAGGCTCCATTAAATAGGCGAGTAGGCATGAGAATGGGGCAGGGACCTCAATCCCCATCCCCATCGGGGAATTTGATCATATCCCCATCCCCAACGTGGAAACGGATATTTTTTTCCCGTTTATATAAGCTATCTTAAATCAAATATGTGAGAGACCAAATATGTTTAATTCTCACATATTTCTAAGAATTCTAAAATCAAAAAGTAATTTAATTTAATTTAATACAATATAAATCACAACATCATATAATAATTAATAACTTAAAACCAAAAGAAAATTTGACGTCATAAATAATATAAAATCATATCGAGTAATTGTATTATGACTTGATCTCTAAAATATTAAATACTAACATCCAAAAATAGATACGGGATGGGACGTGGAGTGCGATACTCATCCCCATTCCCCGTTTGAGACAAACGGGGATCCCCGTCCCTTCCATATCCTCGATTTAGCAAGATCTCCGTCCAAGAAAGGTGGGCCGGATTCTCCAACAGGTCGAGACCCATTCCCATGCCTAGAGGCAGTGAAGGAGTTGGTAGAGCCGTAGATTCTTAAATTGTCTAAATCTTGTCATAGTTTTTTTTCTTTTTTAGTTATGTCCCAATATGCAAATCTTAATCAATAAAATTACAGAATTTTAGACCCAAAATGGTATGATTTCCTAAAGCAAAGACCAAAGAAACATACCACAAAAAAAAAAAAAAAAAATAGAAATAGCAAAAAGATAAGGATTTTTGAAAAATAATTTCTTGAAACTAACTATTAGAATGACAATAAAATATCAATTCAATATGAGATAAAAATAAATATCGATAGTATGGTCTGATTGAAGTAGCCAATTTCAATTTACGAACGCTAAATCGACAAAATGATACAATTGATTTCAAAGGTGACATATATACTTGTATAAACAGACGATGATTCAAGTCCGACAACCAAGATGGTTTAGAAGAAGCCATTCTGAAATGCCATGACTTTTTACAATACATAGATCTTCATGATTTTTAGATTGTTATTTTTTTTCTTTTGATTAACCTGGATATCCAACCCGCTATGCGAGCCGACTAATCCCAGGACGACCACCTGTTTTGCAGATAGCCCGGAGTCACCGCATTTGAACCTCCGTGGCCACAAGGGGATTTGTATTCTTCCTTTGATTTGAACCTGAGACTTCCTGGTACTTTTGACCTTTAGAACCAAGCTCAAACCAATCAGGAACCAATCTTATGGTTTAGATTGTTATATTTATATTAAAAATACAAGCATTACAACTGAAATTAATTGTATCAAAATATAGAAATTTGAAACTACAATTTTAACTAAAATTGCAACCTATCACCAACTTAAGTTTTTAAACACCTCCAACTATAACAGCCCCATCTCACCAAACAATTACACCACTCTCAACCTCCCCACCCCACCCTACCCTACCCTGCGCCACCCCCTCTCCATATATATAAACCCTACCTCCATTCCCACATAACTCGCTCATTCATTCCCATTCTTTTTCTTAATTTCCACACCAAGATCGATCTAGAAAACAAAATGGTGTCCCATTTTCTGTCATTACAATTCTTGCTACTACTCATCATCCTCCAATGCACCACCATCACCACCACCGTAGCTCAGTCACTAGCACCGGCTCCCGGACCACCAGGCCCCACCAACATCACCAAAATCTTGGAAAAAGCCGGCCAATTCACCACCCTAATCCGCCTCTTTGAAATAACCAAAGTGGGTGATCAAATCAATACCCAACTCAACAACTCCAAACAGGGAATGACTGTATTCGCACCACCTGATAACGCCTTCTCCAGCCTCAGTGCCGGAACCCTCAACTCTCTTTCCGACCAACAAAAGGATGAATTGGTTCAGTTCCATGTCATCCCCACCTTCATCTCCATGTCACAGTTCCAAACCCTCAGTAATCCGTTGAGAACACAGGCCGGGGATAGTACCGCCTATAAGTTTCCGTTGGACATTACGACTTCCGGCAACCAGGTGAATCTGACCACCGGCGTTGTTAGTGCCACGGTGGCGAATGCAATCTACTCAGACGGTTCACTTGCTGTTTATCAGGTGGACAAGGTGCTGCTACCCATGAGCTTGTTTGGTCCGCCGGCTCCGGCAGCCGCGCCAGCACCTGAATCTGGAAATGATAAGAAAAAGGACAAAGACGATGATAGTCAGTCTCCTAGCGACGATAGTGCTAGTGCCAACTCCTCCGATGCAGTTGATTTGCGTCGTGATTTGCATGGGTTAATGGGGGGAGCGATTGCTTTCATCGCTATGTTTTATTTGTGACAATAGACGGTGGAGATGATGCCACGTCGGCAATTTAATAGATGTGGGTCCGTTCTTTAGCATGATTTGTTTATTGGGTGATTGTGATTAAGAGGGTAGAGTGATATGGTGTGTTGCGTGCTTTTTGAATAATTGCTGCGACCTTTGTAATCTGTCGTCCATTTTGTCATTTGAAAACATGTACCCATAAGATTGAATGAAATTCCGGTTTTTCATCATCACTTTTTCTAAAACATTTTGGAAATTTATTTCTCAATTTTGTATTCATTCGCAACCTTTCTATCCAATGTTATTGAATTTTTGTATTTGTTCTTAAAAGAAATTAATTAATTTTTCATTTTTTTTAAATAGAAAGAAAATAAAAGATATCATTTTTATAAATATAAAATCTAAAAATATATTATGCTTGAATGAGTCATAGACCAATTTTACGATCATGTGCTTTTGGGGTGCGTTTGATATACTGGATAGGGACATGACAGAATAGGACAGAGATCACTGTCCCATGTTTGGCATAAATTTTATGTGAAACAGACAAGAACATAGTGGAACAAAGTGGAACAGACCTGTTCCACCCTACCCCATGGAACATGGTGGAACAAAATGAGATAGACTTATATTTTACCAATATAACCTCAAAATAAAACTTAATTATCTTCTAAAACATTAAATAGGTCTTTTTTTTACATTTTATTCATTTTTTAAATTTTATTTATTGTATTTTATGTTTTTCTTAAACTTTCATTTGAATGTTCTCAAAATATTATTTTTATACGGTTTCTATATTTTTAATAATTTATATTATTTATTATATATTATTAATAAAAAATAATGTAGAAAAGAGATAAAAATAAAAATAGAAAACTACATAAACTTTTTATTTGGTGTCAATTTAATTGTTTTGACGAAAACTTCAAATGATATATTTTGTTATAAAAAATAATTAATCTATTATAATTTAATAAATTACATAAATTAATTAAAATAAACAACTCATCAGGGGTAAATTGGTCATTTGACTTGTTTTGTTCTATCCAGTTTTATCTTACCAAATGTTGAACAGTTGTTATGTTCTGTCATGTCCTGTCATATCCTGTTTGGACACCAAACACACCCTTGAGTACAAGTTTCACATACGAAATTTGAAGAATAAAATGACAAAAAAAACAATCGCACGTCTTTGTTCACATGTCTATTTCATATTGTACCAATACTATTAAATAAAATACATCAATTGTTTGTTCTATCTTCTAATTAATACATTATTTCGCCTACAAAATAAGTAACAATTTAAACAATTTTCATTTGTAAGCTATCAGTTTTGAACAAATCGATCAACGATTTCAATATGGTCTCACATACGTACATATAGAGCCAAATTGAAAATATGTACAGATTAAAAACACCTGAACAATTTATTACTGTGTGATTTTTAAAGACAACTTCGCGAGGAGTGATATTAACCTATGCCTTCTTATATATATTGAAGAACATAATTTAACAACATTTGTTTACATGACATTCATCATACCTCCCAAAAATCTCATTTTGTAACTCCTTGGTATACGTTATTATAAGAGCTTCTTCAAAATAGAGAAAATAGGGATTTTGCGTCAATATTTTGCTTCAACAGTTTTTCTAAATTATCTCCAAAATGAAAAAAATGATTATCAAATAAGACCAACAATAAAAAACTTTAAAAATAAATATTTATAAAGAGAAATAATATTTTAATAGATGAATACATTTTCTTTAATATCGTAAACAATGTTGGATTCTCCAAAATAGGAAACCTGTGGAAGATGAATATATATATTCTCCATTTTAGAGAAAATTTTGATAAATCTGTTACAGATGATTAAATAGATCAATGACATTTCACAATTAATCATGCAATGCAAATCATAAAACCATCGAAAAATCGACCATCATCAACTATTCATCATGAATACGCCCACCACATTAGTCTCCCTTCTCCACATTTCACGATTAATCATGCATACGCCCATCACATTATTGTCTCCCTTCTCCTTAGATAAATCGACCATCATCGATTATTCATCATAAAAAATGACGATTAAATCGTAGCTTGATCAGACCGGACCGGACCAGACCAAAGCGAGTGGGATCATACGGACCAAATGGATTGGTCGTATTCTCCTCACTGGGCACTCTGACAATTCATAGGACTGATTGATTTGCCAATCTCACTTTTATCATCCCAAACACATATTCTTTTAAAAGCAGTAGTACTACTACACTACTACTACACCTCTCATTGACTGCCACTGAAACCTATGCTGGAATCGTTGTTCGAACAAGTGAACTTGATCAGCTCTTGTTGCAAACTAAATGCTCGTCTCTCGTACCCTTCCACGCCAAGAAAATCTCTGGTTAAATTCCCCTCGCCGGTTTTCTTATTCAATCCCGCCATCATCATCATCGTCAATCCATCGCCGTTCATCATTTCACCTCTCAAGTTCTCCGCTTGGGAGCCGCCATTGTTTCTGGTTTGGTTCAAAGAAGTAAGCTCGGAGAGCTTAGTAGTGCTCATAAACCCAAACCCGCCGGAGTTGGTACTTCTCGTGGATCCAATTTGAGACGCCTTCTGTAAAAGGGCGGTGGCCGATAAATGTGGCGGAGGTGGTGGCGGGTAATTAGGACAACCACCATAATTATACAACGAATTCAACTGCATTTCCTCTTTGTTGTTCTCTTCCTCTTCTAAGGATAAGCCTTGTGGCAGTTCTGTAAAAGTTTGAACTGCTTCTTGGCTTCTACTCAGCCACTGCACCATTTCTGACGACAATATGCCGCCATTGTTGTCGTTGGAGCTTGATGACCCCAAAAACAACGAATTGGTTGTAGAGTTGTCGAGTGGATTATTGGCATGGTGGTGCAGCCAAATTGGTAATCTGGGTTTCATCTCGTTTCCGTCTGGACTTTTTGCTAACTCGCCACCACCACAAAAAATCGCCGGTAACCTTGGGTTCCCAATCCTATCACCGCCGTTCATCATCATCAAATCTCTTTGGAAATTGAGATTCGTGGTGGTTTGAACCATCGGAAACGACGCCATTCCTGAGTGTTCTTCCGAAATTGCATCACAAAATGCTCTATGCGTTACAAAGCTATCTTTCCTGTATTATTTATACACATGCAAATTTCATTCATCTTTTCCAATTAATATCAACCAAATCTAATCGTTGGAACTTGAATTTATACCTGGAAAAGAGTGTTCCGCAATCACACTTGTACTCTCTGGTACCACAAATCTTGCTATGAGCCTTCCAATCCGACAGAACTGCATACTTCTTCGAACACTTCTCACACTTCCATTTCTTTTCGCCATGTTTCCTGCTAAAATGCTTCTTAACTCCGGTGAGATCTCCGAGAGCTCGAGAAGGGTCATGATGAACACAGCTTTTTTCTGGGCATATGTAAACCTTCTTCCTCACAACTTCTTGTTTATTTCTTTGCTTAAGCTTCCATGGCAGATTGTGTCCTCTTCTATGAAGCTGTAAATTCTGATCTCTCTGAAAACCCTTGTTGCATATCTCACACATGAATCGGTTCGTCGCCATCAGAGACTTTGGTGATAACGCTATCACTTCTGCATCTGGATCTATAAACTCATCAATTAAACAAAAAAAAAAAAAACGAAGAATTCAACATAAAACAAATTGGAGAATTGAACTGCTGGAGTTTAATTACCTGGTGTGCCAGGCAGACTACGTTTTCGCTTAGCTGAATTCGCAGAATTAGGGTTAGGTTTTGTTACAGGGTCATGGACCAAAGCTGTGAGGGAAGGAGGAGGTGATGAAAACCCATCACCAGACATCATTTTCGATCAGCTTATTTTGACTTATAAGATGCTAACACAAGCAGAAGCTACTAAAAATAGATATATGGATGAAGATGAAGAAGATGATGCATGACTGTGATTCATTGAGTGTTCTTCAATTAAAGAGATGATGAAACCCCATAAAAAGAACCAGGTGGTTTAGGGATATCTGTAAAAAGATTCAGGTTTTCTTGGATAAATTACAATCTAGTCTCAAATAGATGTTGTTTTGGTTTGAATCTTGATAGATGATGGGAAGTGGAGATGGATGAAGAAGAGAATATTTTCACACAGTAACACACACACTAAAAAACCAGTGAAGGAGAGAGAGAGAGAATGAAGTTACACGGGTTGTATGTAAAGTCGGTCAGCCATAGACTCAAGTGGACCACATATCTCTCTTTGCATAATTGATACCTTCTCCGTGAGTAACTTTTGACTTTTACTCCCAACTCTTATTTTTCAAACATTTTTTATTACAAAAAAGGACAAGACGTATAAATATTTTTAATCTATTTATTTCTGAGTTATTATCAAGATATAATTTTTTATTTAAGCAAAAAATACATTAATCGTGTTCTCTAAAAACCCATATACAATGCTTTATTTATGTGACGAGGTATTTTTAGTTCACTCAGCAGTTAAGACGAGTAGACGTCTTAGATCGAACCTAAGACATGTTTTGTATATGAAATATAATTATTTTGTTTATCAAAATTGTCTTATCACTCGTTCCCTTGTACTAATTATTCGGATCAATTAGTATATATTTCAATGTGTTTTATTACTTGTTAAACTATTTAAATGGTTAAAAAAACTGTTTATTCAAGTTACTTAAATTGAGTACTAAATATTGTATAAGTAACGTGAATGTTAAAATAAAATTTTAATTATTTTAAAAATTAATAAAGTGTTTTATTGCCATGTAATTAATAAAAATATTTAATCGTTAATATATAATTTAATAATATAAAAAATGTTTAATAAAAAAGAGAAATTGTGTAAATGGATCTGAAAAGATGAAAGGGCTTTTGTAGACCTTTTTTGTTGATCAGGTGGATTACGCATTTATTGTTATGTGACGAAATTACGGATGGGGACGTCATGTTTGGTTTATTTTAAGATTATAACTTATAATAAATAAATAAATAAAAGTTAATTTAATTTAACGATATATTTATAATTAAGAAATGAAATAATAAAGATTAAGAAATGTAAATGAAATGTGTAAATGGATGGAAACGTGGTGGGGGAGGGAATTGTTGGCGATTTGAACGTGAGTTTGAGTAGTCATTGTTTTCAGCAAGCCCGTGATTTGCATAGGATTAGATCCATTGGCCCGCCCTCACCCATCACCTAATCAAATGTCTTTTCTACCCTCCCTACCTCCTTTTTTATAATCAATTAATTTCAAATCAAACACAGGTCCTGCCCCTGGTTAGGTCACCACGACTTGTTGCATGCTACCCGTTTTGTCCTAACAACTTCCCGTTTCAACTCTACTTGTTCCAATCACATTTACCAATTACCACCATCCATCCTCATTTCCAGCTCGTTTAATTTTTTTATTAACCTGGATATCTAACCCGTTATGCGAACTGACTAATCTCATGACGACCACCTGTTTTTCAGATAGCCCGGAGTCGCCGCATTCAAACCTCCGTAGCCACAAAGGGGATTTTTATTCCTAACTCATTTTTTTTTGCATTGGAAGTTTTTAAACGATATTAATTATCATACTTTTGTAATCTTAAAAATGCGCTTTTTAACCCATTCCATTCCTCAACTTGTGTTACCTCTTGATCTTTTCCTAAATTCTCTCGTGGAACACGTTCCTTGATGACACACATGTCTAACTTATATCAATTCCACATAATATATGTACTAGTTTTATCAAAAACACTCGAGTGACCTTTTAAATATAGAATTAAACATTGTTTTATGGCTTCCTTTCGACACCATTTTTCGTGCTATAAGACTGAGCAACATTTTTTTTTGTTTCTAGTCATGCTTTTAAACATGAGCTTGGAGCATAAATCTGTTGCACAAATTTGGAGCAATCAAGAGTAATGCTTAGTTTCTACCATTTGTTCCCTCAACCAGTTGCACCTTCCCAAACGTTACCATCATCTTCCATAGCTTTCTAGATTGCACGTTATCTAAATGTATTGCTTTTGTCTCTTACTGGGTCCTTAGACTTTGGTTGTTCACCCATATCTTTGTCTTTCATATTCTTTCACATCCATTGGACCAATGATTCCATTTTTTAGCTTGTTTTCTCTCGTTTTAAGATGTTATATCATATGATTCATATCAATAATCTTATAGTATATATATATATATATATATATATATATATATATATATACTAATATTAAACATGCACACACACACACATATATATATATATATATGTATATGTATGTATATACTTTTAATAGGTTTTGATCCTCAATTGAATTAATAGTTTAAGACAATATTTAAAATGTATGGTTAAAAAAGTCAGAAGTTTAGAGGAGGAAAACAAATATATTTCCATTACAATTTTATTGTTTTGGGAGTTGGGACGTTAGAGCATCTCCAACAGATTCTCTAAAATGAGGAATCAAAAATCAAAATCTCTAAAAAAAATTACAATTTCAATTTTAGACCTTATAACATTAATTGTATAATTAAAATATTCAGTGCATTAAATAAAAAAATTTACATCTCTCTCCAGAAGATTTAGTTTTAAGGATGTTATGAATAATAAAAATTATTTATGTTTCATAAACATTCAATTTTAAGGAGTTCCTAAAATTTGGAAACTTTTACCATCTTTCATATTTTATTTATTTTTTAAAATCTGTTAAAGATACTCTTTGAAATTTGTAAAATGGTGATACAAATCTAATTGAAGAGGGTATGCATGTGAATATGTTTTATAATGTTTTGAGCAAATCTTGAATTACCAATGAATAAATAGCATGTTGAGTAGGGTTAGATCCACGATCGAGTTATTTCGTATCTATAACATTGCATGCCAATTGTATCAAATATTATTCGTTTTGTTCACAACTGTACTCACGATTTTAAACACATATTATAAAAGAGATATTCAGTCCCTTATAAATCAACCTTAATTCATGTTCACAACCGATGTTGAGTCTTACATTATTTCCTTATGAATGTGCCAAACGAGCTCTTGTTTCTCTCTGTCGATTCAATTGTAGTTAGGTCATTTGTCGTTTTTTATAGTCTTCTTGGTTTTTTTAGCTTCTACTCTTTTCTAATCTATTTTCTTTATTTAGTGGGTTATTGCACCTTGCAGTTGGCTCCTTTTTTATGTAATTTTGTTGGTTTTTTCTTATTATATGTTTTTGCCTTTAAAAAATGTGTCACATGAATTGATACTATCATATAATGGTCATAGAAAATAATTAATTAATTATAATTATAATTATTTTGTTTGGAATTTGATATTGATACATTCTATAATTAATTTTAAAATTTTCATTTAAAACTGGTTTTTTTAAAATCTTTTGAATAAAATATTTAATTTCTTGAATTATTTTGCGCAGATATTCAAACGAAATTCTTTTGATTGTTTTGGGTTCGTACAACTGGGTTTTGGTTCCTTGGGCTATGGAAAATACAAAATTGTCCCTGTTTTATTTCTTAAAAAAAATCCAAACAAAATCTTCTGAATTTTCGTTTTGCAATAGTTAATTTTGATGTTTAATTAAAAAGCATTCTACTTGTTTTTTTTATCTTGAATCGTACATCAAGTCCAACCCGCATCCGTGGACGTTCGATTTTGGTAAATTCCATTTGAAACCGTAGCTAGAATTCTAATTTAAAAGGACGTGAACATTTTAAATTTATTTTGTCGATTGAAATTAATCAAACAAAAAGTTAATATGAGATATGTGAGCAATGTTGGTTCTCTTTAAGTGTTGTAGATAAAAAGATAAAAGATAAATATTTTATATCATGGTGTTAACCGAAACCAAAACCATATTTTTTTATCATTAAGTTAGCCGGTAATTACGTTAATTTATTTGTATTTCATAAGTAAGGGGTTGTTCGGTAATGGCTTAATGAGTTGTTAAGCATGTATGGCTTATTCGGTCAGCCATATATTATTGTTCGCTTCTGACTTATTCGGTCAGCCGATGGCTTAATCAGTCAGCCAGAAAAGTGGAGTCATATGGACTCATCCACTTATTGAACCATTTATTCAACAATCCATTCGCTGTAACGAGTCACAACTCCCTCTGCCTCCGACCACCATCGCCACAACCACCCGTACATTTTCAAACTCATCAGTCAAACAGAACACATAAGCATCGATTTCAATTGTCAAACCCCTCTTGTCAGCCGTCTCCCTTCACCCTCCTAGCAGCAACAAACGTCATCGCCTGAACTCCGCCACAGGCGAACGTTGTTCGCCTGAGACCCAAGCAGTAGCAGCAAGGAGGTATTTTTAGACGTTTAGTATTTGAGTAGTTGAGTTCTGATTTAAAGATCCATTTGCTTGAAATTCCATTTACTATATTGCAAATCTACTACTACAAATCCATGTGCTATATTGCAAATTGACTTACGAAAACCGACAAAAAGTTGACTTGAGTTTTTATTATAATGACTTATTAATGTTGTTTTGATTATAACATTTAACTCATAATTATGTTAATCAAGTTGTTTTTATTTAAAAAAAACTTTTAAATTGATATTTTTTTATAACTATAAGTCATTGATTCAACATTTTCATCAAACTGTTGTTTTATTCAACAAAAATAAAGACTGGAGGTAAAATGGTCATTTTTGACATTCAGAATGTTTATTCAGCACAATAACCGAACAACAACTTATCTGTTAATATACAGACAACTATATCAATACAAACAGTTATATCTATAAATGTCTTAACAGAAAACGAACCGAACAACCCCTAAATGAGGTTAATAGAAATATCCAAATTATATACTTGGATTATGACGGTGAAAAAGAGAGTTAAGATGAAAACATAATAAGGGATCTCCAACTTTAGATATACATTAGGATGAGATCATTGGTGCATTTCGGTGCATCTCATCATGATGTGCATTCAAGGATGGAGATCTCTTCTCACATTAACTCTTATTCTCACACGATTATTAGCTTTATAATAATATATAGAGGTGAAAATTAGACTTTAAACTTCAGATGAAAAAAATATATTATAAAAAATCTATGGTTCAAAATGTATTTTCAAAAAACCTATATTTATTTATTTTTTGAATTTGTAATATCAATATCGTTTAGTTTATTTTGATTTTTAATATAATAATACTTTTTAATAAAATTTAATAAA